GAGAATAAATGACTGAAGAATTAACCTTAGGTAGGGCATCTATCACTCCCTCCAAGTTCCAGCAACACTGGAGAAGGGACACCTAAAATGTACAAGTCGGTAAAGGGTATGTGTATGGCATTTCATTCAAGCATTGTGATTACAAGACTGAAAAGGAAGGGATGATAGAGTTCCATTCCTCTCTGAGGATTTATACTGTTAATGGTTGATGGGGTAAGGGATGATTCTCTTCTGTGGTATACATTGGGTAAGATGACCATGCTATGAACAACCCTAAGCCTCCCACCCAAACAAAAAATAAAATAAAAAGATAAATGTTGAGATGGATGCTATCTGGGAAGGGAATCAGCAAGGGAAAGGGCTGGAAAGATGGCTCAATCCATTAAGAGCACTGCCTGTTCTTCCAGAGGACATTGGTTTAGTTTAATTTCCAGCACCCACATGGCAGCTCACAATTGTCTAACTCCAGGTCCAGGGGATCTGATGGCAAACACATGGTACAGACACACAAAAGACCCATACATATATAATTTTAAAAATGAAGTGTTTGGGGGAACACAAAAGAGGGTAATGGGGTTATAATATGATATCATATACATGTATGAAAATGTCATAATGAAATCCATAAGCCATTATTGTATATAACATATGCTAATAAAAAATTGTAAATTGCCAGGCAGTGGAGGTGCACACCTTTAATACTAGCCCTCAGGAGGCACAGATCTCTGAGTTTGAGGCCATACTGCGATACAGAGCATGTTCCAGGGTAGCCAGGGCTACAGAGAGAAGCCCTGTCTAGGGGAAAAAACAAAACAAAACAAAAAAATAAAGCCAGCCTGAGCTACATGGAAGAAAAGAAGGAAATAATTAGCAAGGCAGCTCGGGACCAAAGATGGTCTGTGATTTATGAGTCCAAGGTTGGTATCTACTGGTCTTCATACAATGTGTCTCCATTTGTTTACAACTGATTTGTAAATGGCTTTTCTACCTAAAAAATATTACTACCTGACAATGTTTTAAGAATGTGTTTTGCTGGAGCCTGGCGGTGGTGGCGCATGCCTTTAATCCCAGCACTCAGGAGGCAGAGGCCGGTGGATCTCTGTTCAAGACCAGCCTGGTCTACAGAGTGAGTGCCAGGACAGGCTCCAAAGCAATACAGAGAAACCCTGTCTGGAAAAATAAAAACAAAAAATAAAACAAGAATGTGTTTTGCTGGGCAGTGGTGGGTCTTTAATCCCATTACTCGGAAGGCTGAGGCAGGTGATCTCTGAGTGTGAGGCCAGCCTGGTCTACAGAGCTTCAAGACAGGCTCCAAAGCTACAGAGAAACCCTGTCTCAAAGAACAACAACAAAAATAGTATTTCATCTCTACATCAATATTGAATGAACAGTCCTGTTAGTAACAAATACACTGGTATAAGTCAACATGAACCAAGACAAATGAAATGTCTTGCCCAGGTTTACTTCGATGTAGAGAAAAATCATTGTTTTCAAAATCCAGTTATCCACAATTACTAAAACAGCATGGCTCAAAAAAAAAAGCTACAGAGTCAGGTCCAATTTCAGCAACTGGTGGAGGCAGGAAGTAAATCCAGCCTGAACTATACTAAGACCTGGTCTATTTAAAAAAAAAAAAAAAAAAAAAGGCCACTGCAAATTTTTGTTAGAAAAGATGTTCATGTTTTCGAAACTGTATTAGTAGTCTATTCTAAGAACTTTGGAGAGAAATACTGTCAAATTCAATTATTAATTTTAATTTACTTTTGAGGACATACTAGATATAGAATAAAACATGACAATGCATCTACAGGTCAATGCAATTCTCATGACTCACTATACTACAGAAAATAGCCCAGCCAATAAATACAACACACATCAGTAAAATATTGGTATTCATCATATAACTCCCCTAGAATTTATGAACATCATCTTTCCTCTCAAAATTCGGGGGGGGGGGCTTTCATTTTTCTGACTGTGGATGTATGTAATGTGGTCAACTGCTAGGCTTTTGATGTTACAACTTCTTCCCATGATGGACTATACTCTGAAACTGTGAGCCAAAATAAGCCCTGCCTCCCTAAGTAAGTAAAAATAAAATTTAGACTATTAAGAATAACCTTGCTACACAGTTGAGTAGTTACAAGTAGTGTGTGTGTGTGTGTGTGTGTGTGTGTGTGTGTGTGTGTGTGTGTGTGTGTGTGTATGTTCAAATTCAATCTCCACCATTTACTAATTAACAAGTTACTTCTTCGTACTTCAGTTTTTTTCCAAAAATGAACATCATAACTACCACAAAGGATTCTTGAGAATTAGTTATTATAAACAAAGGTTAGAGCAAGGTCTACAACCTATCAAGTACTATATTCCCTGCTAGTATTATTACACCACTAAAATGGCAATATTTTGATGTCATACTAGTATAATCAAGGACAAATCAAGCACACTTTTAAGAGTTGGACAAGTCATTATAGGTATGAAACTATAGCACTTAGGATACTTGAGGCAAGAGGATTGCTATATTTTTAATGCTAGCATGGGCTATGCAATAAGACCTGTCTCTAACTTTGAAAGTCAATAAATTATATTGAATGGTATTTACTTTTAAGATTTTTTTTAATTAACATCCTAACTTTAAATTTCACCAGAAAGCAGTTGTCTATTAGAATATGAATGTAACAAAACTTTTGATGCTGAAAAATTCAAGATCTGCAAAAAATTCCTTATTCTACTAAGTCAGATGACCACTAGTACACCAAGCCACACCCTAAACATTCTTTTCAAATCTTCCAATCAATGATGTTGGAAAAAAACTAACAATGCCTATGCTTTTTTTTTCCCTTTCTTCCAACCACTTGTTCTCTATTGCTTACTCTAAGTCTATTATGTGATGTTAAGAAAAATGAGAAACAGGCTAAGTGAGATGGAGTTCCAGGCCAGGACTATGTAAGAGACCCTTTCTCAGAGAGAGAGGGGGGCTTGTAATTGTCCTAAAGTGATAAACTATGTTTTTCTACTAAAAGCTGAAATTCCAAGACTGACTTCTCCCAACATACGATAAAATCTGAGATGGTAAAGCAGTTGTTGAAAGCTCTATCATCTGTAATTTCCAACAGTAAGGAGACTTAGACAGGAACATTTCAAGCTCAAACCCTGAACAAGTTAAGGAGATCCTATCTCTACTGTTCTCTATTTTAAAAGGTTTATTTATTCCTATCTTATACTATTTGAACAACTGCCTGGTGTACAGTTAGATGTTAAGAATTATTTTCAGAAAACATGAAAAGTCTACTGTGCTTTCTTAAACTATAACCTCTCTTATACAGATGAGCATAAAACCATATCCCTAAGCAAAATGGAAAAATAGAAGCATTTCCCCCAAGGAATATATCAGACTCCATGGAGAAAGCAGCTAGGGTTTATATTCCCTAAGTCCCCATGCCACATTTAGTATTTTCAATTTCAGTCAGAGCAACTTCTGGATTTGGCTTATGCAATTTAAGAAACATACTACCTTACCACATTTCAAGCCAGATCCTAAGGCTAAGACAGTTAAAAGTGGTGTTTTGGTGTTGTTTTGTTTTTAAGGTAGTTTGTTCACACCCTTTAGTCATTTAAAATCTAAATGATGTCAAAAAGGCTTGATAAAGGTTGAAAATGTTAAATCCCCTACTCTCATAATCAGATTATATATGAAAGAACTTCCAGCCTATTCTACCAATGGCCATTAGGAATGAGTATCTAAATGTTCTTGTATCAACACAACCACACACACCTTAACTACAGCAAGAGAATTCACTATCTTGCCCTACATTCTAAAGTATTACCTCACCTTAAAGAACATTTCTAGAAACACTCCTCAAATTAGGTGGGCAGATGTCTATTTCATCCTCCTCTGCATGGTTTCTTATGCCATTTCCTTGGCTTTGTCATTTAAATAGAAAGGAATTTTCTTTGTACTTTCATAAATCTCCGGTGTGCAAATAGAGTTGGTTACCCGGATGCACACTGTTTCCATCAAGATTCTAAATCTTCACAGATTCAAAAAAAAAAAAAAAAAGCAGCTTTGGGAAATAAACCATTAAAAAACTGTAACATGCAGTAAGGCAATAAGGGAAAATTTAAATCAAATCCAGAAAAAATCCAAATGACTGGACAGTCAAAACCTACTTTATCAACGTGTTGTTGCACGTTTTATAATATGGCCCTAAGATTTCAAATGTAAGCAACTAATGTAACTGTTCCTATTTAAAAAGTAGACTTTTTAAAAATTTGAAGTTCTAGATAAGTTGGAGATTCTTGGTCAAATCGAACTTCTCATTTTTCCCCCATAGGGAAATTAATGCACCAAGAACCTACCTTCCCATCCTTTTAAAATATAAAAAGCCATAGTAAGTTTGGAGTTAAACCTAATCTAATGCTTCAAAAGAAAAAAAAAACTATATGGAAATGAAGTGTGATGGAAAACTGTGCATGGAGCTTATATACTAATGGAGATTTTCTAAATAAAGAGAAGACGCTGGCATCGAGCACATTTCAAGTAGACACACATAGCTGAAGAATTTCCATAGTGAAAAACACTTGTCCTCAGAACGCAATGGCCTTGGAGAAAGCCTCAGAATCCATGGCCACGGGCTATTTCCACAAGCAGACTTCTCAGAAGCATCTTTGGGAGGCCACATCAGCTTCTCTGCCTTCGGGGGTTGGGAAGGAGGGACACCAAGCACCATCTTTCCTCTCTGGGAGCTGCAGCCTTATGGATACGCTTCAAACCTGAGCTACTTCAACTTCCACGGGGAGGGGGGGGGCGGCGGAGCGTGGTTCCACCAAGCTCTCTCACCAAGCGCAGCTGGGCGGCCGTGGCAGCGAGGGGAGAGACGGCTGGCGCTTGCGTGCGTGTTTACGTGTCTCGGATGGGTGTGGGAAGAGAAGACAGAGAGGTCCTAATGAAAAGATGGAGGGGGGGAAAGAGAGAGAGGGGTTGAGGAGGGGGGAGGCACCACCTTTCTTTTCTCTGCTCTTCCTGGGGATCTGAAAACTCCGCCTAACAGGCCTTTCGGGCTCTTCGGCGCCTTTGTGGAGAGCGACCGCGGCCGC